ATTTGACCGAGGATATACAAGAGTTTTTCATGGTAGGTCACCCAAATATATACGGAAGTTTTATTCATAACTTGTTTGCTTTTGTCATTGCCTCGGTTTGGGGTTCTTTTAGAAGCAGACTCTGAGATGAGGATTTGAGGGTCAGTTTATTTGGGAGGTGATCCTAGAAAACACCAGGGGTGGGTGAGGATGAGGAGGGAGGAGTGGGAAAGACAGGACAAGGAAGGAAATGAATAAAAGGTGTGTTACAAAGCAAATGAAGCCTAACTCCACTAGGGGGCAGTGCAGATCACATGTCTCATAGCTATACCATCAGCGAGGTAAAAAAATTGGGGCTATTTTTCCAACTGCCCATCAGTCACTGGGCTGGTCCAGCAAGTGTGTGGAGCACTGATGGGGCTACAGTAAATAATTCTTCATCATACTCCAGTTTCATGGCACAATTCTGGTGGAATTAAAACTGACTAAAACTTTTTTTCTTGTATGTGGCCGACAGGAAGGTGTGCTACTTGGACCCCTACTCCCCCACCCCAATGCAGTTACGAAGGGGCAATACGGCTAGGCAACAGCGTCCAGTGGTTAGTCACTCGGTCTATTTCCGCTTTCCAGCCAAGGTCACGCTATTCTCAGGGGTGGCCCTCATCCGTGGCTGAGCAAGGCCATTCATGTTCAATGTGGGACTCCAGAAATGAGCGCTCTTGGGCTGGCAGAGCTTTGTCAAGTTTTCATTATGGTCTGATGGCTCCACGTGCCCAATCTGGTTTCTTCTTTTGTCCTTTCACTATAAACCTTGTGTAACCCCAACTCCAGGTTAGTTTATGCTTCCTGGAGAACCCACCCTGTGACACTGTATTTCATGGAGCTTAGGGCATCATTATTATATGCTACTTCGAGAGGAAAAACTATGCCAATTAAACCATGGCACTCTACGGACTGGCAGGGAGGAGTGGCCCTATTTCAGAGATGCGAAAAAACTGGGAGTCCTGAAATAGATAAAATGGGGTCATTAATGACATTTTACTTCAACTTCCATTTCTAATCTAAGCCACCTAGAAAGATCTCTGGTGGCCTCAATGACCTAAAAGAAGCAGCAGATGGACAGAGAGATCCAGCTGACCCGCACTCTGGCTGAAAACCTCAAGTTGGTCACCAACTTGATTAGGTAGGTTCCATTAGGCTCATGGAACCCTTGTTAGCAAAGGGACATCAGAGACTCACATCTTCTGGCCTGTATCAGCTCTAGGGCTATGGGCAAAAGATTATCACATTGAGTGGGCAAAGGCAAGGATCAGTGGGAGTGCTGAGAGAGCACATCTGCGGGTGTCCCACTGCCCCTGAAGCAGTCTCCTTTATGCACTGGGTCCCACAACACCCTGCAGTCACACACCTGAGCACCTGGGGAGCGGGGCAGACATTTTGCTTCTATATTCCCCTTTCAGAGCTCCTCTGAAACAGGAGTGAGGTGATCCTACCTGATTTCTCTTGGTGAGCCACTGCTCCATAGGAACTCTACAAGAAATAAAAGCAGTTTTAAAAAAATTGCAACGGAATGACTACAGAGTACTGATAGCAAATACAGCCTAATAAACACAAAGCTACAACAACCCTGCAAAAAACACTAGGTTTCAGGGAGAAGGGGAACTCATGTTTGTTTAATCTGTGTACCTGACAGACTTGAAATACTCAATGTCCCAGCAAACAGTACCCTGCCCTTCACTGGAGGCCAGTGAGCTTCTAATTCAGGATGAGATGAAGAGTAGGAGATTAACACTTGAAAAGGCCCAAAGGTCACAGACCAAAATGATCCCAAACTCTCAGGTTGGCCTTCAATCTCCAAAGGCTTGTGGGGTTTCTCTGGACAGAAGAGGAGACAGGGGAACATGAACCTCATCAGCCATACCTCCCCATCTACCAATAGGACCTACTTTCAATTGCTTATTTCAAGACATAAGCCTGAACCTGGAATTTTCCATTTAAACAAATGAGGTTCCTTTTCTCTATTTCCTTGTTTTCATTCCTCCCACTCCTCCTCTTATCCTTCAAAGGCAGAATTGATGAGTAAGTAGACACAATCAAAATGACACCGAGGTCACATTTTTTTAAAAAAATCACCTATCCTCAAGTAGACTCTGTTGCTTACATTAGCATATTCTTGATTTCCCATCTCCCACATGGTGCACAAGAAAAACTGTCATTGGGTTATTCAAACCAAAGAAGAATGACAAGAACAACTAAAGACCCCAGGTTTCTAGCTGTCACAGGAAGAACTCTTCGTTTGTAGACCATGCTTCATCATTTATACACACTTAACGTTTTTTACCTCAGGAAAGTCCATTTTCCAGGTCCCTGGGGTCTTTAAATGTTTACAATCCGTTTGGCGTTTCCCAGTGTAAACTGTTATTCCCAGTATGGTTGCCTGCTTCTAGGAATGAATAGAAAGGATGCAATCAGCACGGGCTAGTGTCTTTGGGAATTTGGTAAGAAAACACTGTAGGGCGGCGCCTGGGTGGCTCAGTGGGTTAAAGCCTCTGCCTTTGGCTCAGGTCATGATCCCAGCATCCTGGGATGGAGCCCCCGAATCGAATCGTGCTCTCTGCTCAGCAGGGTGTCTGTTTCCTCCTCTCTCTGCTTGCTTGTGATCTTTGTCTGTCAAATAAATAAATAAAATCTTAAAAAAAGAAAGAAAGAAAAGAAAACACTGTGGAAAGAGTAAGTACGATTTCTGATCTTGAGTAGTTTCCAGTTTCATTGGTGAAATTGCACACATTGTTTTTGCTGCTGTTGCTGCTGTTTACCTTCCATCCTTTACAAAGAAGATCCCCTTGAAACCGGAAGGGCCGTTCAGAGAAGGAAAAGAGCTATGTGGACAAAAGCAGGGAAAGCTTTAGGGAGGAGCTGAGGGCAGAGCCAGGCTTGAAAGATGGAGCAAACTTTTTATGTATCTAGGAGAGGAGGAGAATACCAAGAGGTACTGAGCACAACATTAAAAGGTTGGGGGAGGGCTGGGTGTCTCAGGTCATGATCTCAAGGTCCTGGGATTGAGCACCCCATCAGGCTCCCTGCTCAGTGGGGAGCCTGCTTCTCCCTCTTCTCCCACTTTCGCCTCCAGAGGGCACTGCTGCTTTCACAAAAGGAGGATAAGGTCGCTGTCTGCTTGGCTGTGGGTGTCCAGTGGGCTTTTGTTTTAGATGCGGTTGCACTTGTTTTTTCCTTCAGACCTGGGGATGTTCCTTGAAGACCCAGGGAGAGACTTGAGCGTGGGGGCAGCAGTCATTTAACCCTCCCAAAATAAAAAGGAGCATAGTGCCCCATTCAGTCTCTTCTGCCTTTTTTTTTTTTTTTTTTTTTGAGAGAGAGAGAGAGAAAGCATGAGAGCAAGCACATGGAGGAGGTGCTCATAGACAGAGGGAGAGAGAGACTCTTGAGCTTTGGCCACGCTGGGCTCGGATCCCCACCTAGGTCAAAAGTCCAACTCACCAGCCACCAAGATGAATCCCACACCTGTCTCTAGGCTATGCTTCTCCTGATCCTCAATTTTCCACTCTCCCTGAGCTGAGATCAAGAGATGAAAGCTTAACTGACTGAGCCTCGGGGCTTCCCCTAAATCGCTTTCAAATATGCCCCTACCCTCCTTTTGTACTGACACCATTTCATTTCAGGGCCTCAGAGCCTCTTGCCATATATTCTTCTTAAGGATTGAAATGTATTCAATTTTACATCTTATTGTTTGAAAAGTAGAATATTTACTGCTTCAAATTTAGAAAAACTTGAAAGCCTCCCTCCTACCTTCCTCACTACCTTTCCCTCCCAGATGCAGTCACTGTCATTATCGTCTCCTGGATCCTTCCAGAGGCATTTTTTACACACAAGGTAGCATCTTTCACAAACTCTGCTGCATCCTGCCTTTCTCACGTCATGCATCCTAGAGATTTCTCCGCGTAAAGAGCTTCTTCATTCTTTTCACTGCTCTTCACATTCCATTGTATAGATGCACTCTAGGCTGTTAAACTTCTAGGTCCCCCTATTTATGGACATTTAAGGAGTTTCCAATCTTCTGCTATTGTAATAAAGGCTGTAAAGAACAAATGTGTACGCAGGTCACTTCACACAGGTGTTAACTGATGAATGGGCATACACTTTTAAAAATACCGCTACTAAAACACTTGAAATAACATACGTCCCTCCTCTTATATTTCTATTGGTCAGCACTGATCTAGACCCTTCCTAGGTCCCCCATCATTTCCTCCAAGGCCAAGTGCTCCCTCTCTGCTTCAGATCACAGGGATTCTAGCCCCTCCAACGCTCCCCACCTCTCATGCTTTTTGACATTCTGCTTCAAACTAATTCTTGGAGGCCTTAAGAGATTTTGCTTCCTTACTCACAAGTCCGCTTTCCTTTACCAGCCCCCGAGGGCAGGGCCTCTGCTCTCACCTTTCCTCCCTAAGACACGGGGTGGGGGTGGGGGGCACAGTTAGCCAAATCAAGGCATGATCGGAGGAAAGTCCCGAGAGCCAGTCTAAAGGATAGGGTTGGAGGGAGGTCACTGATGACCTATGATAATGCAGGTAAACGAATTCAAATTTTAAGACAAAGATGAGTGCGTTTCACCTGAATTCAGAATGTGAGTTACATTTTCGTTGCAGATAATAGTAACAAGAAGAAGAATGTAAAGAAATCATAAACACAGGAGACACTTAGTTTGACTTAGACCTCTGAGCCGTCCCCATCCTCACAGGGGGCAGCGGGTCCTAGAAACCCGCTTCTCGTCCGCCCCCCACCCCCCCGCCGGAGCCCGCAGGAGAGAAGCGGCAGCGACAGCGGCCACCGCCGCCGCGGGGCGCGGGTCAGGGGCCCGGGGGCCTGGACCTACTCACCCGGCGGACCGCCGCAGGAAGGGCGCCCAAGGGAGGAGGGGAGCGGCTCTGCCTGGCGCGGGGAGGGATTTCGGGGAAAGCGAAACTGAAACTCTGAGGGCCCAGGACTGCCGAGCGCGGGTCGAACCCGCTGCCCCCCCACCCCCGGAGCCAGACGCCGGGAGCCATGGCCTCCGCCCTCTGTCCGCCGTCCCCGCTGCTCGTGCGGGTGTCCGAGTCCAGCCGTCGAACACGCTGGAAGCTGGAAATTTACTTCCAGAGCCAGCAGTCCGGCGGCGGGGAGTGCACCGTCCAGCCCCTCTACCACAGGGACCAGGGCACCTTCCTGGTGAAGTTCGCGGAACCGGCAGGTGAGCGGTGGGCCGGGGCTGCGGGTGCCAAGGCGCCTGGCCCCGCGGGATTCCAGGCAGACCCAGCTCATGCTGACCTAGGAGAGACGGCGGGACAAAGTATGGCACCGTCTGATGGGGCCAGGACCCGGGGGCTGCTGCTGCCCAAAGACACAGCCCGATGGGGAGGGTAGAGCCCAGAAGTGCCCAGTCGGCGATCTGGTCTGACCACATTTTAAAGTTGATGCTTTCCGGTGTCCTCACCCTAACTCAAATTTCTCAGCTCTGGGAAGGACACCTTTCCCTCCCGCCAGACACGGTAAACTCTTGTCATTTAGGTATTCTATTTTTATGTTTTAATTACTCCATTGATTTGTTTTTGAGAACTACATAAGTAATATATGCTCACTATAGCAAAGTGGGAAAAGAATAAATAAAACCATCTGGAGATAAACAATATGACATACTTCTTTGCAGCCTTTTTTCTATGACTGTCAATCAACATATATTTACAAAATTCTGAGGCTATACCTTTGATTCCTGCTTTTTTCACTTAACTTTATATAATGAGTATTATTGCATATCACTGCAATGGGAAACTGGAGACAATTTCACATATGTGACTTTTAAAGAGTGTATTCCCTTATCTTGAGCTTTTCATTTCTACAGTAAAACATAAGCCAGGGCACCTGGGTGGCTCAGTCAGCTAAACATCCACCTTCAGCTCAGGTCATGATCCCTGGGTCCTGGGACCCAGCCCCCATCAGGCTCCCTGCTCCGTGGGAAATCTGCTTCTCCCTCCTCTCCTCCCCACTGCTCATGCTGGGGAGCGTGCATTCTCTCTCTCTATTAAATAAATAAAATCTTTAAAAACAAACAAACCAAAGCACAAGCTGCCCACATTAGAGTTTGAATAGTTCCTGCACCGCTGGTCCCCAACCCACTATTCCAGGATGCAGGGAACTGCCTTCTGGGGAAGCTGCTGAGGCAGGGTACAGACACATGAGGAAGAGGTTTATTTAAAGTCTTTCCTGGGGCCCCTGGGTGGCTCAGTGGGTTAAGCCTCTGCCTTTGGCTCAGGTCATGATCTCAGAGTCCTGAGAGCCGCATCGGGCTCTCTGCTCATCGGGGAGCCTGCTTCCTCCTCTCTCTCTGCCTCTCTGCCTACTTGTGATCTCTGTCTGTCAAATAAATAAATAAAATCTTAAAAAGTAAATAAATAAGTAAAAATAAACATAAAGTCTTTCCCATGTGTATGTGTGTCTATAATGTCTCCACCAAAGCTAAAGAGAGAGTCTTGAAGAAAGAAAATCATCAGATTATGGTTGAAAACAAACTTGTGACTATTTTTCTGGAACCCACTAAGAATCCAGTGGAGAAGAATGCAAGACCCAGAACATCTTTTTTGCCACAGTCACAGGAAAGGGTGAGGTCTGGTGAGAAGCATCAAAACGAAGAACATATTCCTAATGTTATGGATTCCTGTCTGCAAAAGGTAAGGTTTGAAAGAAGGAGTTGGGAGGGGTATGTTCCTGCACCTTCCTCTCCGTTCACCATACCTTTCACTATTGATCTGACCACTACTAAGTACACCATGATGTACTTCGGAGGCAGGCCCTCTTCTGGGCATGGGGACACAGAAGTGAACACAATAGACAAAGTCCCTGCTGGGTGGGGAGGTACACAGAAAGACAACAAGCAAGTAAACAAAATAAAAGAAACAGTTTCAGGCAGTGATATGTGCTAAGAAGAAAATAGGATAGGGTTTGGCCTTAGAGGGTGACAGGGCCAAAGTGAGGAAGGGGAAGGAGTGGTGCTGCTTCTGACCAGAAGTCAGAGACAACTTCTCTGAGGAGGTAACATTTGGCCTGAGACTTGAGTGATGAGAAGGAGCCAGCCTTGTAGTCATTTGACAAATGAATATCAACTTCCTGTTGTGTGCCAGGCACTGTCACGGGAGCCGGGAATATAGCCAGGATCACAGACCCTGCTTTCAGGGACCTTACATTCTAGTGAGGGAAACAGATAACAATAGTTTAAAAAATAGATATATAATAAAATGTTTGTCAGTGATAAGTGCTAGGAAGAAGAATAAGACAGGATAGATGATAAACAGTGACATCATTGTTTTATTTTTTTTCAGACCATTATTTTAAACAAGATATCAGGAAAAACCTCTCAGATGAGGTACTGTCTGAGTAGAGACATGAATGAAGTAAGGGAGCAAGCTAAGTGAGGTAAGAATGTTTGAGGCAGAAGGAAGCACAAGTGCAAAGGCCCTGAGACAGGAGCTTCTATCCTGAAGCCCAGGGGCTTCAAGGAGGGAGACTATTGTGGCTAGAAGGCAGGAGGGGAGGGGGAGAATGACAGGAGAGGAACTTGGAGAGGTAGCCAGAAGTCAGATCTTTGGGGGATGAAGGCAGGGACTTTGAATTTTAACTTCAATCTTAGGGGGTTCATCTGATGGTTTTGAGCCAAGGGAGTGGGGTGATCTGGTTTATACTTCTGGAGGCTCACTTTGGCTGCTGTGTGGAGGACTGAGTGTAGGAAGGGGCCAAAGTGGAAACAAAGTGAGAGCCCAGATAGGAGGGGTTGCGGCAGGAGGGAAGCAAGGTGACAGGGGCTTGGACTCTGGGTGGTCCTGATGGAGGTGTGAGAGGTGGCTGGATTTGGGCAACATTTGAAGGATGATCTGGATGAAGGATGTTGTATGCAGAGAAGTATCATGTACAAAAACCAGAGAAATCTTGCTTTTCTCTTACATTCAGTATGCATCTGTCCTTTTTAGCTTAATCTGATGTTTCTGTCCTATATTCGAGCTTCTAAAGGTCAGGACTTAGAGGGCCCAGCAATACGGCATGCAGTTAGGTATTTAGTTTTTTTAAAAAAGGGGAGGAGGACTAAAGATGAGAAAAAAGCAGCAAATACGAAAACAAATCCTTTTCAGATTTATGGCTCCCCTTGAAGCTCATAGGCTCTTTTGAGAACTGTAGCAACTTTCCCAGAAAGCCGATGTACCTTCCCTCCACCCCATTCCCCAATAGTGGACATAGAGGACAGCTCTAGAATCCAGACTTTGTGTCCACATCACTTTTTATTTTTATTTTTATTTATTTTTTTTAAAGATTTTATTTATTTATTTGACAGAGAGAAATCACAAGTAAGCAGAGAGGCAGGCAGAGAGAGAGGAGGAAGCAGGCTCCCTGCTGAGCAGAAAGCCCGATGTGGGGCTCGAACCCAGGACCTGGGATCATGACCTGAGCCGAAGGCAGAGGCTTAACCCACTGAGCCACCCAGGCGCCCCCCACATCACTTTTTAAATATGCTCATGCCCAGGCTCTACATTTACAACAAAATCTCTAGAGATGGACCTGGGCCTTGGCTTTTTTGTTTGTTTGCTTTTCTTTTGTTTTAATTCCCCAGGTTATTCTAATAGGCAGAACGAGCTGGGAACCTCTAGGCTATAGCCTGTTGCATTCTCTGCCGAAAGGATTTGAAAGCAGTCAGCCTCTGGTTGTTTCTCTGGTCTCTCGACTTTGTCCTTTTTTTTTTTTTTTTTTTTTAAGATTTTATTTATTTATTTGAGAGGGAGAGAGAGCATGAGAGGGGGGGAGGGTCAGAAAGAGAAGCAGACTCCCCACCAAGCAGTAAGTCCGATGTGGGACTCCATCCTGAGAGTCTGGGATCATGACCTGAGCCAAAGGCAGTTGCTTAACTAACTGAGCCACCCAGGCTCCCGAAACCTAGGTGGTTTTTTTGTTTTGTTTTTAATTTCTTTTCAGTTTAACAGAATTCATTGTTTATGCACCACACCCAGTGCTCCATGCAATACGTGCCCTCCATAATACCCACCACCAGGCTCCCCCAACCTCCCACCCCCCACCCCTTCAAAACCCTCAGATTGTTTTTCAGAGTCCATAGTCTCTCATGGTTCATCTCCCCCTCCAATTTCCCTCAACTCCCTTCTCCTCTCCATCTCCCCATGTCCTCCATGTTATTTCTTATGCTCCACAGATAAGCGAAACCATATGATAATTGACTCTATCTGCTTGACTTATTTCACTCAGTATAATAGACTTTGTCTTGATAAGAGACTGGAGGACTGATGTCCGAGAGATTTTATTTGTTCCTTTTAAAATTTCAGATCTTTCTTAGCGTCACAGCAGACCTGAACTGTAAGCTGTTCTCTAAAGAGCAGAGGGAACACATAACCACTATCTGCCCCAAGGTCAAAAAGATGGAAGGGGACGATGGAATTGAGAAGGTGTGCGGCACCTTCAGAGATATTGAAAAAATATATCACTTCTTGAATAAGCAACTCCAAGAAAGTGGGTGCAAATTTGAATCTTCCCCTTTGACAATGGAGAGGAAGCCACTCCATCAGCAGAACCAGAAGAACAGCTGTGTTTCTCCCTTGGAAACAAAAACCAAAGCAAAAGACGAAAGCAACCGTCTTGAAATTCCCTTGCCTTTCTTTGAGTATTTCCAGTATGCCTATCCTGATAAAATAGACTTGATACAGAAGAGATTTGGTGTAAAAATTAAAATAACAACTCAGAAGAGTTATCCGAATACTGTCTATTTAGACTTCACCTCCAATCCATCAAGTGATCTCCAAGCCGCTAGAGAGTCTTTTGTCAGTGAATTTCAGAAAACCGTGGAATCTCTGGAGCAGAAATGTGTTGCTTTTGCAGACAGTGAACAGGCAAATGAGATCAAACAGGAACTGAATCAACGATTTACAAAGCTCCTTATAAAGGAGAAAGGAGGAGAATTAACTCTCCTTGGGACCCAAGATGACATTTTCGCTGCCAGATATTTTTTTGACCTAAAAGCCTCTGAAAGTCTTGTCATGGGACCTGTGAAAATATCAACTCCCACATGCCTGATGAATACAATTGAAGTTGACCCGGCTCACTATATGCTTGTAAAAGCTGAATTACTCCAGGAGATGATAGAGTTAGAAGAAAAGTACAATACTCGTTGTGAAGTTTGGGGAGACAGTAAGACAATCCACATTCTCTTTGAACCTAAGGACAAGGAATTCGATCTGTCTGCCCATGCTTATTCCAGTTTCATCGATGCCTATCAATATGTGTCAAGTCAGCTGATGAGAGAAGTTCTTTCACTGAAAGCTCTGGGCAAAGAGAGAAAGCACTTGCATCAGAACGAGTTTGCAGATGACTTCAGGGAAAACCATCCGCATGTACACTTTGTACTAAATCAAGAGTCAATGACTTTGACTGGGTTGCCAAATCACCTTGCAAAGGCAAAGCAGTATATCTTTAAAAAAGTGGGAATGTCCCTGTTAGCTGGAGATCAAAAGAATGCGGACCAAGAAACACGCATGGACATTGATAGTAATGACTCAAAAATAGCTCTCTCAACATTCCAGCACTCTGCCAGTTCTGGGGCATCAGGAGAGGAGAAGGAAGAGGACATATGTAGCATCTGTATTGACATCATTAGTAACAAACAAGTGCTATCGAAGTGTAAGCATGCATTCTGCACCTCTTGTATCAACAAAGCTTTTTCCTATAAGCCGGTCTGTCCTGTGTGCCAGACTTCCTATGGTATCCAGAAAGGCAATCAGCCAGAGGGAACCATGACTGTCACCGTCCTAAAAGACTCACTTCCAGGTTATGAATCCTGTGGCTCCATTGTGATTACTTATAATATGAAAGGAGGCATACAAACAGTAAGTGTTTCTGAGGTACATGCGTTTCTTTTCAATATGCTAGAATGAGCAGAGCAAGAGACTGTCCTGGTGCCGATTACTGAATATCCCAGGGAATTATTTCCATGTATATTTCCATGTGCAAGGGCTTTAAATGGGAATAAGAATAATATCAGTAATAAAGGCAGCAATGTTTGCTTTTAATTTAGGTATCTTTTGTGTCTGTTAAGGCAGAGAAAGAGCGGGTGGTGATTTTGTGTTAGAATGGGGCAAGTCAGGGGCGCCTGGGTGGCTCAGTGGGTTAACCCTCTGCCTTCAGCTTAGATCATGATCCCAGGGTCCTGGGATCAAGCCCCACATCGGGCTCTCTGCTCAGTGGGGAGCCTGCTTCCCTCTCTCTCTCTGCCTGCCTCTCTGCCTACTTGTGATCTCTCTCTCTGTGTTCAATAAATAATTTAAAAATCTTAAAAAAAAAAAAAAAGAATAGGGCAAGTCAGAAGATGGATAGTGTTTCCAGCATGAATTTAGGCAAAGAGAGAAATATGAATTATTGGGAATAAGAGCAAACCTCCAAAAAAAAAATTTTTTTTGTTTTTTATTTGCTCTATCTGCAAATGAGCACATCTATCTGTACAGTAAACTTTAGATTTGGGAGTGTTTTCATGTGTTATTTTCTTTTCTTCATACAGAAAGAGCACCCAAACCCAGGAAAGAAATACTCTGGATTACAACGAAGAGCTTACTTGCCTGATAATGAGGAAGGAAATGAGGTTTTGAGTCTGCTACGTAGAGCCTTTGATCAAAAGCTGATTTTCACAGTGGGGGATTCTCGAATGCTAGGAATCTCCAATGTCATTACATGGAATGATATCCACCACAAAACATCTCCGTTTGGGGGACCACAAATGTGAGAAACTTCTGAAATATAATGATTGTTAAAAGGGATTTAGAGGTTGTAAAATATGGCAGTTTGAGAGGCTGTGGCTAGAAGGAGACTTTATAGCAGTGGCATTGGATACAGTATTTTTTGAAGTAAAGTTGACTACAATGTTACATTAGTTTCAGGTGTACAACAGTTGATTTAACAATTCTGTGCATTAACTCAGTGCTTACCACGGTAAGTGTAGTTACCATCTGTCATTTATTCTATAACTGGAGGTTTGTATCTTTTAGTCCCCTTCCCCTCTTTTGCCTATCCTCCCAACCTCTAGCCCCCTTCCCCTAGCCACCACCAGTTTGTTCTCTATATTTATGAGACTGTTTCTGTGTGTGCGTGTGTGTGTGTGTGTTTTGTATTTTAGGTTCCACATATATGTGAAGTCATATGGTTTTGGTCCTCTAACTTATTTCACCCAGCATAATAACCTCTAGGTCTATCTATGTTGTTGTGAATGGCAAGAATTCATCCTTTTTTATGGCTTAGTATTATTACATTATATGGACCATATGTGTGTGTATATACACACACACATATATACATACATATATAAATGTATATTTTATATATATATATATATTATATATGTAATCTTCTTAATCCATTTATTTATAGATAGACAGGTTGCTTCCATAGCTTGACTATTGTAAATAATGCTGCAATAAACATCGGGGTGCATATATCTTTTAGAACTGTGCTTTGATTTTCTTTGGGTAAATACCCAGCAGTGGAATTACTGGATTACACAGTATTTCTATTTTTGCTTTTTTGAGGAACCGCCATCCTGTTTTCTACAGTGCCTGCACCAATTCACATTCCCATTAACAATACATGAGGGCTCCGTTTTTTGCACATCATTGCTAACACTTGTTTCTTGTCTTTTTGATACTAAGTGTGAAGTGATATCTCATTGTGGTTTTGATTTGCATTTCCCTGATGATTAGTGATATTGGGCATCTTTTCATGTGTCTGTTGGCCATCAAGTGATTCCATTCATTTTGTGATTCCATACAAATGTTATGTCTTCTTTGGAAAATGTCTATGCAGATTCCCTGCTCATTTTTAAATCAGGTTATTTGTGGGTTTTTTGGTGTTGAGCTACAATGAGTTCTTTATATATTTTGGATATTAACCTCTTATCAGGTTTATTGTTTGCAAGTATCTTCTCGCATTTAGTAGATTTCCTTTTTGTTTTATTGCAAAAGCTTTTTAGTTTGATGTAGTCCCAATAGTTCATTTTTACTTTTGTCTCTCTTGCCCAAGGAGCATATCCAGAAAGAAGTTGCTAAGACCAATGTCCAAGAGATTACTACCTATGTTTTCTTTGAGGAATTTTCTGGTTTCAAACCTTACATTTAGGTTTTTAATCCACTTTGAATTTATTTTTATGTCTGGTTTAAGAAAGTGGTCCAGTTTTATTCTTTTCCATGTAGCTGTCCAGTTTCCCCAACACAATTATTGAAGAGATTGCCTCTCCCATTATATATTATTATCTCCTTCGTGGTAGATGAATTGACCATATAAATGTGGGTTTATTTCTAAGTCTCTGTTCTGCTCCATTGATCTAGGTCTGTTTTAGTGCTGGTAGCATGCTGTTTTGATTACTATAGCTTTGTGGTATAGCTTGGAAATCTGGAATTGTGACATCACCAGCTTTGTTCCTCTTTCTTAAGATTGCTTGGCTAATTGGGGTCTTTTGTGATTCCATACAAATTTTAGGATTAAGTGTTGAAGTTCTATGAAAAATACTGTCGGTAATTTGAGAGAGATTGCATTGAATCTGTAGATTGCTTTGGGTAGTAAGGAAATTTTAATAATAGTAATTCTTCCAATCCATGAGCATGGTGTATTTTTTCATTTGTTTGTGTCATCTTCAATTTCTTTCATCAAATTTCAGTTTTTGGAGTTCAGCTCTTTCGCCTTCTTGATTAAATTTATTCCTGGTTATTTTATTCTTTTTGATGCAATTGTAAATGAGATTGTTTTCCCAATTTCTCTTTCTGCTTTGTTATTAGTGTATAGAAATACAATCATTTTGTAATATATAAATTTTGTATCATGCAACTTTACTGAATTCATTTCTTAACTACAGTAAAGTATTTTGAGAGATGCTATTCTGGAATGATAATATAAAGCAGAAATATTGGTTCTATCACCTTCTACCCTCCAAACCACAAAGTGTCACACAGTTACTAAATTTTGCATTAAAGGGAGGGAACTTCAAAATATAGGATGAATGGTATCTAAGGTGATTTAATTTGGGGTTTCCTGTCTGTTTGGAAGATAGATCCTAGCAATGTTACTTACTCTGCCTTCTTTTAAAATCACCCTTTATTTTACCTTCCCTTCCCAATGGTCCATAAAGATCCTAAATTCACTTGGCCAGTAGTACTCTAGGAAAAGTCTCAGTTAATGGTGGTGGAAGTTGTATTATAGGTAATCCAATTGTCTTTACTTGCTCTTTATGAAATTCAAACAGAATGCCTCAAACCCTTAGTGTCCAAAAGGGAATGTGCCCTGAGGATTTTGAAGATTTCCCAAATTAGAAAATTCTCCTGTAGAATATGATTACCCTCCATAATATATAGTGTAGTATGACTTTAGGAGAGTCACTGCTTACCATGAGGTGAAAATTAAAAGCAAATTCTTATTGGAAGGCAGATCCTGGGCAGAGAGCTAGGCTTACTTATCAGCTAAATGACTCACATCTGCACACTTACAAGTGATTGTAATTCATCCGCTTGCAGTCTTGGTTTTGAATGTTTGCAACACTGAATGTTAATGTCAGGGATCTACTGTACAGATTCCTCAAGACCGTTTGCGAAGAAACTAAGGAGCTTTTTCCTTCTGCAGGTATGGCTACCCTGATCCAGATTACCTGAAACGTGTCAAATGGGAGCTGAAAAATAAAGGAATTGAGTAAGAAGACCACTGGAGGGATGTCTTGAGCCAAGCTTTCAAAAGACACAGTTGAAGAAACACTCTTTAAATTATTTCATCTTGGGGCGCCGGGGTGGCTCAGTGGGTTAAAGCCTCTGCCTTTGGCTCAGGTCATGATCCCAGGGTCCTGGGAATCGAGCCCCGCACCAGGCTCTCTGCTCAGCAGGGAGCCTGCTTCCTCCTCTGTGCCTGCTTCTCTGCCTACTTGTGATCTCTGTCTGTCAAATATACAAATAAAATCTTTAAAAATAAATAAATAAATAAATAAATAAATAAATAAATAAATAAATAATTTCATCTCAATGGGGTACCTGGGTGGATCAGTCAGTTAAGCATCTCCTTCAGGCTCAGGTCAAGACCCAGTGTCTGGGATGGATCCCTGAGTCAGGCTCCCTGCTCAGCAGGGAATCTGCTTCTCCCTCTCCCACTCCCCCTGCTTGTGCTTGCTCTCTCTCTCTCTCTCTCTCTGTCAAATAAATAAATCTTTAAAAGATTTTTGTTTGCCTCAAGAAGTGTTCTGTGTAAGAGTGAGAATGTGCTGGTCTATCATTTCTGGAGTGTTACTTTTAATAGAAGATAAAAACTCCAAATATTTGTGTGATTTTGTAGGTGTTAGGCCTCATTCTTGGGTCATCTTTGGTGAGGGTAGAGGGAGTGCTGTGGTTCTGAAATCATATTCTGTGTTCTTAATTTGAAATAGTAGCTGTCTATCAATCCTCTTTTTATTGCCATCTCTGAGGTAGACTTTTGGTTTTTTGTTTGTTCCTTAAGTACCCTAAAAGTAAAATCCTAGTGTGAAGGGGGCCTGGAGGGAGGGGCTTTGGTTATGGAAAAGTAGAAACACACATTTCCCTCCCTCCCTCATGGCCAGAAAAGTGGCAAGAAGCAGAGATTGGGCAACCTTTGGTAATAAATGGAGTAAGGCTACTATTTTTCACAGTACAGAGCCTGATACACAGTTGGTGCTTCATAATTTTTTGCTGCCTGCCCAGGCTGCTAATAGCCCAGCAGAGGGATATATGTTCCCAAATCTTTGACAGAGGCTAGAGTTAGGAAGCCATTTCTGGAGACCTCACCACTGATTTGGAAAACTTGAGTTTCTTACTCCAGAACACTTAGCCTCTGAACTCTCATCTCTGAATGTTGATTAGCCTTTAATTTGCCCTTGCTCCCTCCTGACTCTTAAAATCTGCTGTATGGGGTGCATTTTCCCTGTCATACTAATGCTACCAAAAATGTTTCTGAACATTTGTTCCCTATGGATATTACTGTACTTTTTAAGTATTCCCTGCTTCCAGTTCAACAAATAAATTAGTTTTAGTTTCCACAGACCATCATTTCCTCAGTGGTGTAGCCTCCACCATAGTAGTTTTTCCATGCTTTTTACTAAAAAGTCCCACCAAGTCCTGTTTTTGCCCTTAAAGTCTCTCTTTAAGGGCAAAAATACATGATACTCTCTGTAGACAGAGACAAGGTTGTAGTTGAGCCTACTATTAGGGATATATAGCATGTCAAAACGCACTTTTAAGTGGTTCTTTAAGTCTGAAGAAAATCATACTAGCAAATTATTTGGTTATCCATGTCCCAGCCCCTCACCAAAGAAGATGAAAAAGAAGTCTTTTTCTTTTCCTAAAGATACACATACACACATGTCTGCATTTGTTAATCAGATGGTAGTAGCTAATATTTATTATGGATTTATTTTGTCCTCTTTATAAGAGCTTTATATCTGTGATTAATACTGTTAATATTATCCCCATTTTGTAACTGAGAAAACTGATGCATAGAGAGGATAAGTACACTGAAAAAGGTCACATAGTTTATAAGTAGAAGTGCTGGGATTTGAAGAAGATAGTCTGGCCCTAAGGCTTCCCCTGCACAGAGTTTCCCTGCCTCCTAGAGGGGACTTCTGCCTGGAGCTGGCTGAGGAATTCCCATGTTTTTGTGTTTCTTTCAGAAATGCATTCCTGCACAGTACTCAAAGTAGATTTTTTCCAAGGATGTCCTGTATGAAGAATTTAAAAACCCAGAATCTTTTCAGATTATACATTTAGTTTTTGGTAATTCATTAAAGTCTTTACTGTTATGATGGTTTTGTGTCTAGATCTTTTAGCTGAATTTGCTTCAGAAAAGCTACAGTCTGGGTGCTGCTAAGTTCCAGATCCTTGGCTGCAATGTGTGTACAAAGGAAAGTTTCATGGTGAGACTGGTTGGTGAGCCTTTGGATTACTACTCTCACTCTGTGGAAGATATTATCATCTGTATCTGCTTTAAATAGGGGCACCTGGGTGGCTCAGTCAGTTGAGTGTCTGACTCTTGATGTTAGTCATGATCTCTCGGTTGTGGGATGGAGCCCCAAGTAGGGTTCCAAGCTCAGCAAGGAGTCTGCTTGTCCCTCTCCCTCTGCTCCTCCCCCTCCACCCCCTGCTTGCTCTCTCTCTCAAATTAAATAAATAATTAAATAAAATCTTACAAAGAAAGAAAGAAAGTTATATCCATATAGGAACAGATTGTCTATGTTCCTCCCCGTACTCCTTCTTTCTCTTCCCTTAGGATGAGATTCTGGGAGTTCTGTACACCACCACCAGTGTACAGCAATATACCATGTGAGCAGATGTTTGCTGTTGTAGTATCGCAGTAAAATGTAATAGGATTGACTTCACTACCATCAATTTCAGCTGTGAAAATCACATTCCTTAATATTTTTTCTCCTTAACACAAAGGGTAACATAAGATAAAAGTAGGCTACAGGATTCATCTCTTCTCTCCTTCTAGAGAAAATGGATGCCATACCCTATTAAATAGCATTTGTCCCCTCCTTGCTCCTAGAATTTCTTTTTCACCTTTCCAATATCAGTGCTGGATTACCCAGACGGCTCACTGGGTACCAGCAAATCAGGGCACCTTCTCTCCGAAGGAAAAAGAAATTAAGATATTTGATGTTTTTCTAAAGATAGAAGTCTTCTGCATCCAATTCCCATGTGTGGGTTTTCCTTCCATACATCCAACCAATTCTCTTGCATCAGTCGGCAAAGTGTCCGACTCTTGGGTTCAGCCCAGGTTGTGATCTCAGGGTCGTGTGATCGAGCCCCATGTCGGGCTCTGTGCTGCTTCATATTCTCTCTCCCTCTCCCTCCACCCCTCTTTCTCTCTCTAAAATAAATAAATTAATTAAAAAAATATTTAAAAAAGTAAAAGAGAAACAATAGCTCCAATCTCATCGTTTCTCTGAAATATGCCTTCAGTCACTCCCTGATGCCTAGAGCAAACTTGATCTTGGGTCAGAATCACTGGAGAGCTCAATAAAACACAGAATGCTAAGATCCATGCCCCACCTCCTACCCCCACCAGTTTCTAACCCTGTAGATGTGAGATTGGGCCCAGAATTTGCATTTCTGATAAATTCCTGGTGATGCTGATGCTGGTGGTCTGGGCACCACATTTTCAGGACCACAGGTCTGGAACATAAAGTTCAAATGACACAGTATGGCCATTAGGCATTTCTCATTCTATTTCACTCACCTCATGTCCCTTCCTCTCCACCAAGCCCCTACAGTCCACTCACACCAGATTACCAGTTTCTTCTGGCCTTTGCTCTACCTGTCCTTTCTAGAATACTCCTCTGCCTCGTTCTCCACTTAGAAACGTCCTACTCTTCATTCTAGGTCTCACTGGAATGTCACTACTATGGAAATTTTCCTTCAATATTGTCTTCAGATTTTGAATCCCTTATTTCCTTGTGTTCCTAATACTTATACATACCTTTAATAATGCAGGTGTGATATCAAAATCCACCACCTTGAGACTGCATAAGCTCCATGCTATGCCCCTATTGCTGGTTGAGTTCTGCCCTGGAAAGTACCAGCAAGAGATAGGAAGGTAGGGGGAGCTAGTGGGAACTTATGTGGGAAACCTACTTCCCTTGCTGTCTCCAAAAGCAGCCATGGCTCCCCTGGAATGGCTCTCTCCTATGGGTAAATGGCTCTTACCAGGTTTGAAGCCACTGCCTACGCCCCTCTGGCCAATTTAGTAGTCTAACCTTTAGCACCTTTAAGCCACGTGATTAACTAAAACTTCTTTTGTGTGTCTATAGATAATGCATTGTTTCCTGTAAAGACTTGGAACTAAATCCTCTTGCACAACCTCCTGCGCCTGCCACCCCCCATACACAGCTTTGGAACACCTTGATAATGTCTGTAGTTGGCACCATTGAGTCTGCATGCAATCAAGCAGTGCTACAAACCACTTTGCTCCCCTTTTTACTCATTAACTGCCCAAAATTTTCTTAATAAAGAAAGCTCTAAGTTGATTTTGGGCGAGAGTCAGCCTTCTCCCCAGGAGGCCCGCCTCTTGAATAAAGCTCATACTCCGTTCCAACCGCCGAACTTGCCCTCAGATAAAATGTTCAGTACATACTCTTTCCTTTCCCCTTTAGTCTAGAAGGGAAGGGGAGGGGATAGGGGAGGGGAAAGAGGAGGGGGAAGGGGAAGGGATAGGGGAGGGGAAAGAGGAGGGGGAAGGGGAGGGGAAAGGGCAGGAGAAAGGGGAGGGGGAAGGGGAGGGGAAAGGGCAGGAGAAAGGGGAGGGGGAAAGAGAGGGGAAAGGGGAGGGGGAAAGGGGAGGGAAAGGGGAGAAAGGGAAAGTGAGAAGGGGAGGGGGAAGGGGAGGGGGGCTGTTTTACTATTTCTCCTAGGTTTCTCTTAGCCCTTTGCCTCCATTTACAAAGGTAATTCCTTTATTAAACTCTCATCAGTTACCCACGTTGAGTATACAGGTTGCCCAAACTACTTTTCAAAAGTTCGCCTTTACTGCCACTTTGCTTTTATGCCAAACCTACATTAGTACCTGTTTTCATTTAGGGAAAGAAACCCAAAGAGTATTTCAGACTTTGCGTCATTTAATCCCCATGATAATATGAGGTAGCTATGCCCACTGACAGATTTAATAATTGACTGGGGTTACACACCTGAAGACTCTCAGAGCCCAGAATTTGGACCCAAAATTTGACAGTAATGTCTGTCTCAAATGGATGAGATAATCTTTTTTTTTTTTTTCTTTTAAGATTTTTTTGACACAGAGACAGAGGGAGAGAGAGAACAGGAGCAGGGGGAGTGAAAGAGGGAGAAGCAGGCTTTCCCCTGAGCAGACGATGCAGGACTCAATCCCAGGACCTTGGGACCCTGACCTGAGCTGAAGGCTGAAACTTCTGAGCCACCCAGGAGCCCCTGGGTGATAGAATCTTGGGCAGCTGTTTTTGAGGTCTGAAAACCTAACCTAGGGAACAGTGATTTGCAGAGAAAAGAAAGTGAAAGGAAAGGCACGGGCCAGTTGGGTGGGGCTGAGGCCCCTTGAGTGGAGGAGTGGAGGAGTGGAGCTGGGGAGGACTACACCCTGCTCCCCTGGGCCCAGATGCAGGAAGCCTGACACCCCACACTCGAAGAACTTGCTCAGGAACTGGTGGCTGTGTCACTGTGTACAGAGCCTAGGAGATCCGGAGGCCTAGAGCGTGAGGTCTGCCTCAACTGGCAGCATGTCCGGCTGGCTGGTGTTCTTGGTTAGAGAAATGGTGAGCAGCGCCATGGGTGTGAGTGCGGAGGGCGGCGTGGGACACTGCAGGACTGGGCTGGGGGAGACCCCACAGCCCTCTAACCCCCTGTCCCTGGGAAGGAGCTTACCACCCTGACTTGTCCCGGTAGAGAGTAGAGTGCAGGGCATCATTTTCCATGGAATCTTTGGTCTCTTTCCCCTTCACTTTTAAAAGTTCCTCATACATTAGGGATAGTCATCTTTTATCTGTGATATATGTTATGGCTATTTCCTTTCAGTTTGTCATTTGTCTTCTGAGTTTGCTTAAGGTGGCTTTTTCTCCCATACAAACAGTTTTTATTTTTATGGTAAAAACTTTTAAAAAAGATTTTATTCATTAATTTGAGAGAGAAAGAGAAAGCATGAGGGAGGCAGGGGCAGAGGGAGAGAGAGAAGCAGACTTCTGGCTGAGCAGGGAGGCTCAGTCCCAGGACCCTGAGATCACATGACCTAATGCTTAACCCATTGAGTCACCCAGGTGCCCCATTTTTTTTTTTTTTTAGTAAAATTTACCAATTTTTTATTTTATTGCATTTGGAATTTTGATCATATTTTAATAACTTTCCCCATCACCTGGGTTATGGTCACCCATTTTATTTGTAATGGTTTATTTTTCACATTTAGATCTTTGATACATTTGAAATTTATTTTTGTTTATGATTTGAAGCATGGATCAAATTTTATCTTTTTTCCAAATGGGTATCCAGTTGTCCCAACACTGTTTATTAAAAAGATTAGCACTTCCCAAGATACCACCTTTATCACTTACTAGATTTTTATATATATGTATTTTGACTTTTTCTGGAACTTATGTTCTATTGACATGTTTATTCATCTGTTGCAGAGGCTTTATTATATATTCTAATGTCCGGGCTAGTTCCCCTAAGAGCTCTTCCTTCCTGCTGTTTTCCTAGCTGTTCTTGTCTGCTTATCTTTACTTATGAACTTTGGGACTGACTTCTGATTTATGATCAGTGGCATAAAAAGCTCACTGAGGTTTATATTGGATTTGCATTAAATTTATAAATTACAGATAGCTGACATCTTGAGATGGTGTTGAGATGTTCTAACCAAGAACAAAGGATGCCATTTCTTTTTTTTTTAATTTTTAAATATTTCTTTATTTGTCAGAGAGAGAGGGAGAGAACACAAGCAGGGAGTGTGGCAGGCAGAGGGAGAAGCAGGCTCCCCACTGAGCAGGGAGCCTGATACTGGACATGATCCCAGGAAGGGACCATGACCTGGGCCAAAGGCAGATGCTTAACCAATTGAGCCACCCAGGCATCCCAAGGATGTCATTTCTTTGTTCAGGTTTACTTCTGTGTCTTTAAGGAGTGTTTATAGAGGTCTTTCCAAAGTAGTGGAGGAGTAGGAGACCTTAGTTTTCATCTGGTTCCAGTAATTCAGCTAGATAGCTATCAAATCATTCCAAATACCTGTGAACTCAATTGCTGATCCAAGAAAAGAATTGCTATAATTCTACAAATAGAAAAACAACAACTTTCTGCAAGGTAGAAGTGCAGAGAAGTGAATTTTAGGCAGTATATCAGAAGATAGACCTTGGGGGGCAAGAGCCTCCATAAGGTGGCTACCAGCAAGTGATATAGGAGTGGAACACAAAATTGGAACTTTAAGCAGTCTGCTCTGGTGAGGGACATCCCTGTCTTCAAACTACTCAGGGGGCAAAGCAGGTGTAATCCTGGGTGGGACAGTGGGTTGCAGGATCCCTGAGGTCACAGAAAGACCCAGGGTGCCCAAGGATGACATAGCTTCCAGGTATTGGCACAGGAAAGCCAGCTACTAACAGTGAGCCCAGGAGTGGAGCTCTCAGCTTGGGGTTTCCATAATCTGCAAACCATGACACAGTCCAGCAACTGATTTCCAAGCAGGGGCCCAGAAAGTGGCAGAACCGCAGTGAGATGCTGCCCCCCCCACCCAGCAGCATCGTGGGGCAAGCCACAGGAGAGGGTTTGGAGACTCAAAGCGGGGTCACGTGCCTGAGATAGAAACATTCTGTTATAGGCTGGGTGAGCATGGAGTGCAGCCGGAGACCAAGGAGACAGGATTGAGTGACTGCTTTTCTCTGAAGGCTCACTGAGGAGTGGGACCCTGAGCTCTTGGCTCTGGGACTGGAGATTGGGAGGCTGCCATTTTCGCTCTCATCCTCCAAAGCTGGCGGAAAGCCTTCAGGGAACAAAACCCCTGCATCGACCAAATGGGAGCGAATAACTTAACCTGGCCACGGCAAGGACAGTACAATTCCACACAGGGCAAAGGACATAAGATTCAGTACAACAGTCAAAGATCAGGAGAACTTCTAGCTAAGACCAAGTTTACCAATTACACAGAATTGCAAAACTCCAGCACTAGGGGAAAATAGTATATAAAATTCATGGTTTTTTTCCCCCTCATGATTCTTTAGTCTTTACATTTTAATTTTTTTCTCTTCCCTTTTCAAATGATTTCTTATTTTATCAGCTTTTTAAAAAAAGTTTTTAAAATTTTCATCTTGACAGTTATATTCTATCCTTTCATTATATTTAATTTTATTTATTTGTATATAGAGATAGATTTTTCTTTACAATTTTGGGATGTAGTTTCTTTCTTTCTTTCTTTCTTTTTCTTTTTTTTTTTTTGAAGTACAAGAGATAATTTTTTTAACTGTGGTAAAATATATATAACATAAAAGTTACCATTTTAACCTTTTCTAAATGTATAGTTGTATGGCATTAAGTGCATTCACAGTGATATGCAATCATCACCACCATCATCTCCAGAACTTCATCTTCCCCATCTGAAGTTTGGAAAGTACTCTAATTCCTAAACACTAACTCCATATTCTCCCCACCCCCCAAGCCCCTGGCAACCATCCTTTTACTTTCTGACTCTATGAATTCGACTACTCTAGGTATCTCATATAGATGGAATCATACAATATACAGTTCTTCTGTGATTAGGTTATTTCACTTGGCTTCATGTCTCCAAGATGCATTCAAGTTGTAACATGTGTTAGGATTTCTTTCCTTTTTAAGGCTGGGTAATATGAACGTTTTCCATTTTGGCGAAGTCCAATATTCCTTTTTTTTTTCTTTTGTCACTTGTATGTTTGGTTTCATAAATAAAAAACTATTGCCTAATCTAAGGTTACACATGTAGTGTCTTCTAACAAAGACACCAAAATAAATCCAGGATATAATGTATTGCTCTATTCTTTTCACCTGTCCAATTATATCCTCTCTCTCTCTACTTTTTAAAAATTTTCATTTAATTTTTTTCAGTTTCAAGTCTCTTCTGATTTATTTAGTGTATATTTCTGTGGGCTCATTGTTGTCATTTTAGTATTTTGTTCTCCTGTTCATCTGTTCTCTGGATAGAATGAGAAGACAGAAAAACTCACCTCAAAAAAGAGAAAAGAGAACAAAAGGCAGTACTGACTGCCAGAGACCTAATCAGTTTGGATATAAGTCAGTTGTCAGAATTAGACTTCAGAATAATGATTATAAAGATACTAGCTGGGCTTGAAAAAAGCATAGAAGACACTAGAGGATCTCTTTCTGGAAAAATAAGAGAACTAAAATCTGATCAAGTTGAAATTGAAAAGGCTATTAATGGGATGCAATAAAAAAATGGAGGCTTTAACTGCTAGGATAAATGCAGCAGAAGAGAGATTTAGTGATATAGAAAACCAAACAGATGGAGAATAAAGAAGCTGAGGAAAAGAGAGATAAACAACTACTGGATCACGGGGGGAAATTCGAGAGATAAGTGATACTGTAAAGTGAAACAATATTAGAATAATTGGGATCCTGGAAGAAGAGGAGAGAGAGGGGTGGGGCAGAAGGTATATTGGAGCAAATTATAGCTGAGAACTTTCCTAATCTGGGGAAGGGAACAGGCATTCAAGTCCAGGAGGCACGGAGAACCACCCTCAAAATCAATAAAAATAGTCTACACCTTGACATATAATAATGAAGCTTGCAAATCTCAGAGACAGAGAAAATCCTGACAGCAGCTCTGGACAAGAGATCTTTGATGTACAAGGGTAGAAACATTAGACTATTCACAGAGACCTGGGAGGCCAGAAAGGAGTAGCATGATATACTCAGGGTGCTAAATGAGAAAAATATGCACCCAAGAGTACTTTATCCAGCAAGGCTGTCATTCAGAATAGGAAAGATAAAAAGGTTCCAGGACAAGCAGAAATTAAAAGAATTTGTGATCACTAAACCAGCCCTGCAAGAAATATTAAAGGGGATCCTTTAAGTGAAGAGATAGCCCAGAAGTAACACAGACCAGAAAGAAACAGAAACAATACACAGAAACAGTGACTTTACAGGTAATACAATGGCACTAAATTCATATTTTCAACAGTTACTCTGAATGTAAATGGGCTGAATGCCCCAATCAAAAGACACAGAGTATCTGATTGGATAAAAAACAAAACAAAACAAGACCCATTGATATGCTGTCTGCAAGAGACTCATTTTATTTATTTATTCTTTTAAAGATTTTATTTATTTATTTGTCAGAGAGAGAGCACAAACAGAGGAAGCAGCAGGCAGAAAGAAAAGTAGCCTCCCCACTGAGCAAGGAGCCCAATGTGGGACTTGATCCCAGCACCCCGGGATCACGATCCAAGCCAAAGGCAGACACTCAACCTACTGAGCCACCCAGGCATCCCAAGAGACTCATTTTAGATCCAAGGACACCCCCAGATTTAAAGTGAGGCAGTGGATACCATTTATCATGCTAATGGACATCAAAAGAAAGTTGGGTAGCAATCCTTATATCAGACAAATTAGATTTTTAAACCAAAGATTGTATTAAGAGATGAGGAAGGACACTATATCATAATTAAAGGGTCTATCCAACAAGACAATCTAACAATTGTAAGTACTTATACACTTAACATGGGAGCAGCCAGTTATATAAACCAATTAATAACAAAATTGAAGAAACTGGATGATGGACATTAAGGAG